ATTAATAAAAATTTTTCATTTTCAAACCATCAAAACAATAAAATCATTTGTTCAAAACCATTCATAGTAAAATGTATATCGCAAACATCATAGTAAAATGATAACAACCAATTCAAAAAACACAACCACGAGGTGTTGTACAGTTAAGTCGGGCCCTTCCATTTGGAATTAGAAGTACCTGAAATATTTAAACCACAAAATCGTAAGCACAAAGCATAGTGATTTCCCTAAAATATGATATAACATACATAACTTATTGGTCCCCACCCATATGTAGGGCCCCACCCATCATATCAAGTACTGCCCACGTAATGGGCCCCGTTCACATAATCGACCCAACCCATCATATAAATGGGCCCCACCGAACATAAAATAGGCCGTGCCCAATATATAATGCAAGAATTGCAAAGACACCTAGCATCATACACATTATAGTGAGAAGACTAACCTTTCTTACGAAGTCAGACAAACCATAGCTCAACGCTACAAAACAGGTGTTACAAATCACATATTGAATCAAACAAGGTTGCACCTTAGTCTATACTCTAGAACTAGCAATTTGACTAAAATTCAATCTAGGTCAACAAGTCAACATTTAGGGTCAATGTCAACAATCAGCATCACCATATTCTACTCTCAAGTTGTGACCAAGCCATGGTTACATTGTGAGAAAATCACCTCGACCTGATCACAAACTCAGTCATGATCCAAATCAGTCTCATTCAAATCCATTGTTACGTCGTGATGGACTTCCCACCACTTCATGGCAACGTCCATCCAACACAGTCGATGAACCCTCATCGTCATGTCATGACACCTAGATGGTCACGTTGTAAGAACCACATTAAGGTAACTTAATGTATTAAGCCCCTTATCGATTAAGCCAATTTTGTAACTTCTCAAAAGGATTTATTAACCAAAAAACCTTCTAAAGATTGATGCTTTATAGATATACATGTCCAATGCATGTATTGAACTCAAGTTAGGTGAAAATTGTCAAAAATGGAACCAAAATCACATGCATAGAATTAAAACTACAACAAAATCTAAATCCAAAGCATATAACCCTCAAGGGACCTCAAGGATCCATAAATTTGCTAACTTTATGCAATCCTTTAAACTATAATTTCCCAAAAGTGGCTAAAAAGATACAAAAAGCATAGATATAGACACCTAAAGCATAAAGATTGGAACTTGGTTTCTCACAATAGTCCAGAAGATGTTCAAAAGAAGTATTCAAGTTTGCTAGTATGCTCTCTTCATAAAAAAAGGTCTTCTTCTTCCTTCAAAAGCCACAAAGAACACCAAAATAGGGTCCAGGTCCGAAAACCCTAGGCCCCACTTCCTTTAAATAGGGTCTAGGTTTGAAAATTGTAGTTTCCCCTGATCAGTTGTCATGTCGTGACAAATAGAGTATCTCGTCGTGACACCTCAACGAGAAAATGTGCCTCATATCGCCATGTCATATCACGATGATATCTTCATCACATCGTGGCTAACATAAAAATCATAATTTACTATCAATTACATACTTTGAGGATCTGGATGTTACAACTCTCCCCCACTTGAATCAGAATTGATCTTCAAAGTCCGTTGCCGCGAACAACTCGGGGCAATGCTCCATCACCTCCTCATCGGTTTCCCAAGTCTACTCAGAACACCAAATGTGCTGCAATTGCACCTTCACCAAGCTCCCCCTTGTTGCACAAGGCCTTTTTCTTCCTATCGAGGATCGTATTTATTCTATCTACATAATACAAGTGCTCATCAACCTGAATATCATCCAAGGATACTACTGCGGATTCAACAACTACACACTTACACAACTGAGAGACATGGAAAGTCTTGTGAATCTGGCTAAGATTAGAAGGTAAATTGTATCGATGCACAACTTTTCCCAATTAGGCGACTACCCTGAAATAACCTATAACATCACAAAAATTTCAGACAAAAATTTCATTTTTAATTCTTTTCAAAATATCAAATAGTCATGTCAAACAACAGAAAGTGTGTCATAGTGAAATGACATCAGAGTATAAATCCCGAAATCACATAACATAGAAAAACATAGGCAGATGCAATGCAATCAAGTCGGGCCATTCCCCATCGAGTTGGAAGTACCTGAAACATAAACTGAAGATTGTACACAAAAAGCTAGTGAGCTCCCCAAAAATACCCCACACCATATACACATAATAGTCAAATCGTAGATGGGTCTATTTCACCTCCATTGGTCTCTTTCAACCGGTATTGGATATATTTCAACTCATTCGGTCTCTTTCAACCTATATTGGGTCTATTTCAACCCCTTTGGTCTCTTTAAACCGGTATTAGGTATATTTGAACCCCATAGGCCTCTTATAACAGGTATCGGGTCTATTTAACCCCCTACTGCTAGCATATAATCAGAAAAATATGAGTCATGGAGACAACAAGCATATAAAGGCGATACAGGAAATTGTCATGAAGACAATTATTTTCCTACCACGATATTCTAGTGGACTGGAATTGATGCCTTCAACCCACGAGTATAGTGAAGGAATCTCACCTCAGCCTAAAAGTAAACAAATCACAGCCAGGCTACTGAATCATGAAGTCCTCTCACTAAATCACAAATAATAGAATTCCTAATTATCAATTAGGTAACGTGGGGGGTTCTAATTTAACAGTCCAAACCCTAAGGTAAATGGAATATTTTACCCTTCTCCTCTTTTCATCCCGTCAACTAAAACCTAGAACAAAAGTAACCCAAGACCACAAGAGGTCCAAAATCAACTCATCCCACTGACAGCGCATACACAAGGTGTACCTGGCTCGTAAGCGCCGCATACGTGGTCCGATCCAGAATCGGGATTCGAATCCTGTACGCCCAATGTACCATCCAGAGAGACGTTTCTTTCCCAAATTTCTTAAACACTTAAGGACTTAATGTCTAAACCCCATGACAACATCATAGAAAGGTCTTAATCCATAAAGTCGAAGACTTGAGGCTTTTCCACGGCTTAATAAAGTCAAATATTGAATTTTAATATACTAACTTAATGAAACAACCATAAACCCTTGCATGGTTGAGCATAATCCATCAAGACACCATTTTCTGCGCAAGGGGCATTAGAGACACTAAGGTGGTGTTTGTTTTGGAAGTGGTAAAATGTATTTTGTCTTTTTCCATGTCTGCGGAAGAAGACGTGGACTAAAAGTCTTTTTTTATGTATTCATACAAAAAGTCTTAATTAAAAAAGATTGTTTGTTTTTTAATTAGAATGAACTAAAACTTAAGAGATGTTGTAATAAAGGAGATTAATTAACCATATTTTTTTTCATATTAAAATACGAATAATTCACGTTGGTTTTTAATAAATTGAAAACCCTATCCATTTAATAATATTTACGAACAATTTAATAGACTTATAGTATTTTGTATGAAAATATTAGATAATATAAAAAAGCAACATAAAAATACACATTAGATTTTTTCTTAATAAGAATTGTATACTTACACGTCGCCACCCGATTTGCATTAATTTCCATTGTTTAACAACAAAGCCGATCTTTGAAATTAATGTTGAAATAACCAAATCTCAAATGCTAAAAACTCAGCATCTCATACATTACTAATCTATTAAAATTTATATTTGACTTAAACTTTGCGAATAACAATTTCATATAGTTTCAAACACATAATATTTTTTAAAACATTAGATAAACTATATATATTTTGACTCAAACCGGAAGGCCGCTTACTTATTAAAGTTGATATTTTTAAAAACATAAAGGATTGTTTTGATGATTGTCTTACAATATTAAAACTAAATTCACAAAAATAACATATTTTTATGAAATTATTCATTCTATACGCATTAACTGGTCAGCAATTTGATCTCGTAGATGAACCATATATACCCGATCTCTTGCACTTCCGTGTGGTTGTACCTCATCCACGTCATCCTCCTCATCATCATCATCATCTTGCACATTGTTGCTTTGAAGTGATATATCGACTTGATTATATTGATTAAAATACTCATCACTTAATCCCTCTTTTATTATATAATTATGAAGGGCAAAACATGCAATAACGAGGTTTCTTTGTGTAACCAATGGAAATGGAGCCATTCTCTTCAATACAGGGAAACATGATTTCAAGAGACCAAAAGCACGTTCAATGGCATTTCGAAGTTTTGCATGTGAGTGATTAAATTTTTCTTTGTTGTTTAATGCACGTCTTTGATGAAAATCTCCAAGCGAATACAGCACATTACGATAAGGAGCCATAAATCCTCGGGTGTGTGTATACACAGCATCACAAAGATAATATTTATCTGTAAATATAAGGAAATAATTAATTTAAAAAAAAAGTAGAAAAATTAAAATGAAAATGTAAACAAACCTGGTGGTGGAAATGGAAATGGTGCATCTCGATCTGTTAAAGCTTCAGATAATATTCTTGAATCATGTGCTATCCCTTCCTATCTAGCCACGACAAATGTAAAAATCATATTGAAGTCGCATATTGCTAATACATTTTGATAACAGTCGCCTTTTCCCCTTCCTCTATACAAATTTTGTTTGTCGAGAGGGACAATAGCATGTACCAAAGTTCCATCAAGTGCACCAACCGCTCCTCTGTAAATCCTTCATAACCTCCTATTCTGTCTTGGGATGTTTGGATTTGGATTAAAGGAAGTTGGTACTATTATATCTTTTGCAAACACCATCATTTTATCCAATACTTCATAAAAAATACTTATGAATCGTTTGTTTGTAGTGTTGAAATCTACGTTTGATGATTACATAACGTTGATTGTGACCAATCATTATCAAGAACATCGTCATCTTCTCTTCAACCGATATATGTTCAACCGATATATGTTTACTAGCAATATTTGTGTCAAATAAGTACACAATCATTCAAATGATAGCAAAAAAACATAATGTCAAACATAAGTTCAAGAAACACATAATTATTCAAAATGAAAGAAAAAACATAAGCATAAAGACTACTTAAACATCCCTAATGTGGTGCCAGTCATCTTTATCCACCCTTTTAAGACCCCAGGTATCGGTGGCAATGTCATCCATGCCTCTCTCATATTCACGGACCTTCCAAAAAGGTGAAAGGCTGCCAAAAATATAGGATCCGTTGGGTCTATTTCAACTAGCTTCAACCTCTCATAACATTCTTCTACTGTTGGTCCTTCCTTGCTATTCACCATATGTTGCAAAGCTTTTTGCATATCAAAACTCAACTCATCAAGACTAACAGAGGTTTTATAGGCTTTATCCATATTGGTCCTATCAGTAGAAGCATCATTGGTTTTAGCCCTTTTATCGGGCCTCTCAGTAGAAGCATTAGTGGTTTTACTCCTTTTATCAGGCCTCTCAATAGAAGCATCAGTGGTTTTACTCCTTTTATTAGGCCTCTCAGTAGAACCACCATGAGCTTTATCACTAGGAGCTCGAGCACTAGTGTCATTGGAAGCGTCATCATCATCATCATCATCATCATCATCATCATCATCATCTAGGCCATTAAAAGGGTTGTCATCAATCAGAAGTCTTTGGACACGATGAGAAGAAGATGATGTATCTGAGGGTGTAGTTTGAGTAGAGGTCCATTTGATGCTACCGCTGGCACTACTTCCATCAACAAAGATGCACAAAGGTTGGGATAAGGCAATGGGTGTGTCCTCAATGATCCTGCCTTTGGATGACATCATTATTAAAATTGGACATAAACTAAAAAAAATAAATTATATAGACACACCTTGAATTCTTCCCATTCTGTGTTCACCAAGGCAAATGAATTTGTTTGAGCATTGTATAAATTCCCTGACTTGTTTCTCAAACATTTCCACCCTACGTACTTAGCTTTTAGATTATCAAAAGCATTTTTCAATTGTTTTTGTGAAGTATCCATGTCAAACTTTTCTTTTAGAGCTTTCCCTAACATAACCCCAAGACTCCTTGTGCATGCTACCTCCTTTTCTACTAATTCTATTGACCTCTTCGATACACGTATCTAATAAACATTTTCCTTGCTCGTTCGACCATTGTAGTTTGTCTCCCATTTAGACAAGCTATATATAATAACTTTATAAATTAATTCCATGAAAGAACCGACTTAAAAAACTAAAAATAAAAAACTTCATGATTCATATCTATGGATTACAACACAAACAACATAAAATAGAAACATTCGATTCAAATGAATCTAAAGTTGATGACAAATAACATGATGTTGATCAAGAAATGAAATTAAATAAAAGCACTACACTAGAAGCATGTTCCAAAATCAACAACATTGAGAAATCAACAACATCGACAATGCATGCTTTGATGACATCAAATATACTCATTTTCAAGCATAGAGTACAACATTCTAATGCAATCAAGTCTCATTGTTATGAGAATTGATGTTATTCTGATCAGAACATCATTCATTTGATAAAAGGTACTCTACTTATGTCAAATATGTTTACTAATTTTGAATCTTAAAAATATATGGTATACGTATGAAATTCAACACCAAGTTCATATCCCTCCCATTTTTGCAATCAAAAATCAAATGGGTTTTTAGAGTTTCTCAATATTCTTAACAGTTAATCCTATATTGATTTTGAGATTGAGTTTAAAACATAAAGGAAGGAAAACTGGAAGTTATTTGAGGAATCAAATAACATTAGCATTTTTAATTGACAAAATGGTGATGAGATTTCACTATTAATGGAGTCTAAATTGATAATACAAGTTGAGAAGAGGTAAGAAAAGAACGAGACAGGAGACAAAAGAGCCACATAAAAGAAGAGCCAAGAAGAGCCAAAAGCAGAAGGATAAAGAGGAGCTGGAATACCTGATGAGCCGATGGCGGGGACGACGGTAGCGTGGAACGGCGGAGGTAGAGCGAGACCAACGTCCGATGGAGGAATTGTTTGCTATGGAGAGATCGTCGGTGTGAGAAGATGCAGTCGTGAAAGGGGGAAGATCGAATGGGGGCGATGGAGGCAACAAATGTATTCCAAGGTTAGAAGGGGTATTATTAGGTCTTTCCAGATAAGTTATGAAAAAGTCTTTTTGGGCTATTTTGTCTTCCATAAAAAAACAGTCTATTTGACAAATGTCTACCTTATCGCAGATGAAAGAGCCCAAAAATACTTCTTTCTAAAAAACAAACGAGCCCTATGATCTATCATCATAACCTTATAAAGTAGCTTATACTCTTAAGAAACACCTTGAGGGACCAAAACAAGCCAATAACCCAAACTATCTAGAACTAAGAAATGAATCAACAAGGTAAGGGCTTGATACCTTCTAGAGAAACGACCAAGGTGGCTAAACTCTTGACCCACAAGCTTTAACACCACAAGAGCAACATCCAAGAGATCCTTCCATATTTAAGATCACCAAGAATACCAAAAAGGTTACTTCTAAGCTCAAAACACTCAAATGGCAGTTAGGATTTCATAGGAGGGTTGATGAGGGGGCAGCCTCAAGCCTCTTAATGGGGATTATATAGGGTTAAACCCTAAAAAATTAGTGTTTGCTGAATCACAGCGTACGCCCATCATACGAAGGAACCCCTCACATCCAAGTTAGGTGAGTATGTCGTACATACTCAAACTCCCTGACATTTTACGCCAAGAGTAATATGCCATGTCCGTCTTTAATAATCAAACACTTAACCTAAAATGCCAAGAAATCTGATACCTCATAAAATGGATGTTACCATTCTCCCCCACTTGAAAAAAATATCATCCTCGAAATCCGTTGCCACAAATTACTCTATGTAATGCTACCTCATCTTGTCGTTAGGCTCCAACATCCACTCAGAACCCTTTCGGTGTAGACGTTGCACCTTCACCAATCACACTACCTTTTTCCTCATGATTTTCATCTTCTGGTAAAGGATCACCACCGGTCTCTCAATGTAATTCAGGAAGTCATCCACCTGAATGTTCTCCAAAGGTACCATTATGAAATCATCAGCCAAACACTTCCACAATTGAGAGACGTAAAAAATGTTGTGATTCTGAATGAGTTCCTCTGGCAGAACCAAACGATACACCACCCTGCCTACTGGGTTAAAACCCCAAAAGGACTAATATACATGGGGCCTAGATTACCTTACTTCCTGAATCACATGACACCTTTCCAAGGTGACACCTTCAGGAGTACCATATCTCTAACCTGAAATTTTAGGTCTCACTGGCATCTATCTATGTAGCTCTTCTATTGACTCTATGCTGTCTGAAAGTCTGCCACAGACCTATTGAATCAATTCTGTTATCTTCAGTATCACCTCAGTACTCACCATGACCCGTTGACCGGCCTCCACTCAACATATCGGGGTCCTATATTTCCTCCCGTAGAGTATCTTAAAAGGAGGTCGATCAATGTTGGAGTGATAACTCTTGTTATATGAAAATTCCACAAAGGAAGATACGTATCCCAACTACCGCCAAAATCTAAAAAACATGCCCACATCATGTCCTCCAAAGTCAGGATAGTCTTCTCACTCTGACCATCATCCTGCAGGTGGAAAATCGTGCTGAAATACATACGTGTACCCAATTCCTTGTGGAATCGATTCCAAAACTTGGAAGTAAACCGAGCATCCATATCATTGTCCATAAAACCGACATCCCAAGTCATGCTAAAAATCAATCAGCTTCTCTACCGAAATGATCTCTTGAATCAAGATAAAATACACACTCTTGGTTAACCGATCCATGATGACCCATATCAAATCCACTCCATACGCCGTCCTACGCAGTTTGGTGATAAAATCCATCGCAAAATTTCCATTTCTATACGGGAATTACCAACGGCTCCATTTTTCCATGGGGCTGTTGATGCTAAGCTTTGACTTTCCTACAAGTTGAGCACCTCTCCATGTATCAAGCCATGTCTCGCTTCATACATGGTCACTACTAATCAGGTCAGAGATATCTATACAGTTTTGTGGCTCGAGGATGAATAGAGAACATCGGTTTGTGCACCTCCTCCATTAAGACCTGATGTGCACCACACCAATATGGAACACATACGCTCTAATGAAGGGGCAAGAACCCTCAGCTATCATAATCGAACGAAGCCACCTAACCAATTATGCACTCGCTCTTTTGGTGCTCTTCCTTCATAGCCTCAATCCGAGTCACTCGAATCCTATTTAAGAGTGGGGCAATCACCATTATCCTCAAACATACATCCCTAATCAGAGCAGCGACCGCCTTACGGCTAAGAGCATCATTCACTACGTTAGCCTTCCATGGGGGATAAAGGATCTCACACTCATAATCGTTCACCACATCCAACCATCTACGTTGCCTCATATTCAAATTCATCGGACCCATCAAATACCTCAGGCACTTATGATCTGTATAGATAGTACAACGAACCCCACAAAGGTGATATTGCTAAATATTAAGTGCAAACACCATAGCCCCTATCTCCAAATCATGGATAAGGTAATTCTACTCAAGAGGCTTCAGCTGCATTGAAGCATAAGCAGTCACGTGACCCCGCTGCATCAGTAATACACCGGAATCTACGATTGATGCATCGCAGTACACCATAAAATCCTCAACACCCTCCGATAGTGTTAGAATCGACATTACACATAACCTATACCTCAGAGGCTCAAAAGCCACCTGCTGCTCATGCACCCACTGAAACGTGGCATTCTTCTTTGTCAACCTGGTCAAATGAACCACTATCTTGGAGAAATCCTGAATGAATCTCCGATAATAAACTACCAATCCAAGGAAACTCCGAATCTCAGATGGAGACATTTGAACCTCCCACCTCATTACCTTCTCGAACTTGGTGAGATCGAGCCAAATACCATTCTGGTAGACAATGTTCCCTAAAAACCGCACCTCGTGCAACCTGAAGTCACACTTTCAGAACTTCACATACAATCTCTCCCTTCTCATAGTCTCTAATACCTCCCTCAAATGATCATCATGCTACTCCTAGGTCTTGGAATAGACCAAGGATGTCATCAACAAATATAATCACAGACTGATCCAATATGGGTCTGCATATACGATTCATGAGATCCATGAATGCAGTTAGAGCATTGTTGAGACCAAAGCGCATCACCACAAACATGTAATGACCATAAATAGTACAGAAGGTCGTCTTTTGTGTATCCTCCACTCTGACCCTCATCTGATGATAACCCAAACACATATCAATCTTGGAAAACCAATATGTTCCCTGAAGTTGATCTAATAAATTGTCAATCCTTAGGAGTGGGTAAGGGTTCTTCACCGTTAGCTTATTCAGCTATCGGTAGTTGATAAACATATTATATGACCCATCCTTATTTTTCACAAATAAGATCGGCCCTCCCTATGGTGAACTACATGGCCGAATAAATCCATTGTCTAACAACTCCCGTAGCTATGTAGATAAATCCTACATCTATGGAGGTGAGAACTGATAAGGTGATTTGGCTATCAGAGCCGTACCTGGAACAAAGTCATTATGAAACTCCACCCCTCTCTCTAGAGGCATTCCAGGAAAATATTTCGAGAACACATTCGGGTTTTCCCGAATAATCAGTACATCATCCACGGTCACCACACCCTTCTCCCGGGTATCCATCACACAGGCCACAAACCCAGAACATCCTTAGTACAGATAACACCTAGCCCTTGTTGCTGAACAAATGGATGGCCCACACTGATCACCTTCACCATGGATCACCAGCCCTCCACCAATTGGCGCTCAAACTCATACCAATGGAATCCCATAATTAATCATTCTCCAATTGGGGATCAACCATTCCATACTTATAAGGACATTGCTCTCGTGTATGGGAATATGAACCAAATCAATCAGATACTGCTCATCGAACAACTCCAAAGTACATCCCAAGTGAACCCACGACACTTACAGTGGACGGTCATCAACAATCTTAACTTTCGTGGATAATTCAACTCTCCCAGAACATCATCAAACCTCCTATTAAGCTCAAGAGATACAAAGGATTGGGTACCCCCGAATCGGATAAAACCAACATAGGAATACCGTTCATGAAGAACGACCCTAAATAGCAATACAGACATATAAGCATGATAATTGATATAAATAAAAAGATAAGGAGAAGATACATACCAGTGACCAAATCGGGTATCCTTGGTTGTCAGTTGAAATGCCCTAGTTCGAACAACTGGCACCTTTTCCTTGCCCTGGTGGCCATCAATGATCTTCGGGGTTACCGAAGCAAGTACTGCTACTTGATCCACCGCTCCTAAACTCGGGCATTTGGCCTTCTTATGGCACCTGTAATTGAAATGAAAGAAAATAAAATCAGATATTTGGGTGGTTGTAGTGGCAGTATTGTCCCTATCAAAGTTCCCTATTTTGTTGCACTTGTAGCACTTTGAAATACTCACCCTACAGACTCCATCATGTGCCTTTGTGCACTTTCCATAGTGGCCTCGGCCCTGTTGGCCCGACGACAAAGAATCAAATCCCTTAGGTTTCTTCTCAGAAACCTCTGTCGTCTTCCTATGCTTTGTCTTCCTCTTCCCTATGTGCTCCAAGTCAATTTGCCATTCCCAAGCCGTGGATATCATGTCATCCGGTGTCGGGTAGACAAAAAAACTTACAAACTCCCAAATATCTGATCTCAACATGTCATGGTACCGAGTGTTCTGCATCTCCTCGTCTGCGGCATACTGGGGTACCAATAGGTCTTTCTCACACGACGTGGCGGTAATCTACGTGGCAGTCTCATTCGTCTGTCACATATCTAGAAACTCCCTCACTAACTGTTGCACCTTAATAGCTGGTGGAAAATCCAATCGGAACCGGGTGACAAAATTTGACTAGTTCATGGTCTCAATTCTGGGGCTCCTAGAGTATCTTCGACCTCCGCCCACCAATCCCGAGCTTACTCCCTCAAGCAGCCTGCAACGATCCTGACCTTCAACCGCTCGAAGCAGAAGCTATTCATCTGGGCACACAAAATATATATTATATATCACTTGGCTGAAATGGGGTCCTTCACCCCAAAGAATTCTAACACCCCACATCCCTTGAAATCATTGAAGGAGAAAGTGTGGGTTCCATGTTGACTAGCA